TAATGGTATCTTTGTGCCTTCGTTTCTGCCCATCAGGATGATTGGGTAAACGTTTTACCCTGGACAGAGTTTATCCTCAATAACCACACTAGTTCCAGCACTGGTGAGCCTCCCTTTGTCACGGCTATGGTCGCCATCCTTCTGTATCATTTCCTGTTCCCATATCTACTGCGGTGACCTGTGGCTGCCGAGACACAACAATCTTTTAACTCTATCTTGGCAGATGTTTCCAAGAATTACATCTGGCAGCTTTCAGCTTTATTATATTATATTATAATATATTTACTGAAGCTATTAAATCAGGAAAACAACCAGGGAACCAGCATTTTCTGATTTTCTGCAAGAAGTTGGCAATGAAGCTGATATAATTTTCTTAGCATAGGGTTCACCCCAAACCTGGGGTACACCCCAGACACCAATACTGCAAACCAAGATATCTCTATGTTTATACCCTGCATACTGCAGAGATGAATATATTACAAAATCTTTTGTACTCCATCCATTTTGTACATAAATGTAGGTGCCCTTATGCTGTTTATTAAAGACTGACATGTGACCATGTTTAATGGAATGGTATGGAGAGTATATGTATGAGCATTATGACTATAGTGGAAAGATGCAATATGTGTGTTCACAGATTTGTACATTACATTGGATCCCTAAAGGTTACATAGTTACATAGTTAGTCTGGCTGAAAAAAGACAAAAGTCCATCCAGTTCAACCATTAAAAAAAAAAAAGTTATAATCCTATACCCATAGCTGATCCAGAGAAAGGAAACAAAACCCAGCAAAGCATGATCCAATTTGCTCCAGGCCTTTTTTTAAAGGAATCCACTGAGCTGGCCAGAACCAACTGTTGAAGGAGTCTATTCCACATATTCACAGTTCTTACTGTGAAGAAACCTTTCTGTGTTTGGAGATTAAATTTCTTTTCCTCCAGACGTAAAGAGTGCCCCCTTGTCCTCTGTGATGACCTCAGGGTGAATAGCTCTACACCAAGTTCACTATATGAACCACTGATGTATTATACATGTTGATCATATCCCCCCTTAATCTCCTCTTCTCAAGAGAGAATAAATTCAGTTCCTCTAATCTTTCCTCATAGCTGAGCTCCTCCATGCCTCATATCAATTTGGTTGCCCTTCTCTGTACTTTCTCCAGTTCCCCAATGTTCTTTTTGTGAATTGGTGCCCAAAACTGAACTGCATATTCCAGATGAGGTGTTACTAATGATTTGTATCGGGGTAATATGATATCTCTCTCTCTGGAGTCTATACCTCTTTTAATACAAGAGAGGATTTTGCTCGCTTTAGAAACCACAGCTTGGCATTGCATGCCATTATTAAACTTGTGATCTACCAGAACTCCCAGATCCTTCTCCACCATTGATTCCCCCAGTTGTACTCCCCCTAGTATGTATGATGTATGCATATTCTTAGCCCCCAAGTGCAGAACCTTACATGCATCAACATTAAACCTCATTTGCCACATATTTGCCCAATTAAACAGTGCATTGAGGTCGGCTTGTAAGTTGAAGACATCCTGTAAGGACATTATTTCACTGTATTTGATTTTTCATATTTTTGGATGCTGATATTATTGTGTATATACTGTACTAACACTAGGATGTACTTCATGAGATAATGTTATAATCTGTTGTGTTTTTCCTTGTCCTGAAGAAGCAGGCAAGATCCAAAGAAACACATAGTGTTTCCAAACCTTTTTTCAGTCAAGGCACACTTTGAATTCTGCAAAATCTTGAGGCATCCCATTCTAAAATGTAAGAACTAAACCAAAAAGGTGTACATAATGCAGCAACATCCACACATGCAAGACACCCAACGTTAAAGGTGAATTATTCTTACAAATGCACACTGGTACTGACTAGTATTCCAGTGTTTCTTTTCTCCCTCAGTTTCTCTCTCTCGCATAAGCTAATGTGACCCCAGTGCTGACTGACACGGGTGGGGGAGGGGCAAAAAAGGATGCTGTGCAGGCGTCTGATGTCCTTCCTATCAACTGACGACATACACTATCTGGTTGTTGGGATGCTGGCGGCTAGAAGGTTGTGATGGTGTACAATGAATACCTGTGGCTTTATATAACTAAAAGGCAGGCTTGTTCCACCCTTTGGCTTTATATACAATTTTTGTGATTTTTTTAGGCATTTTGCCAAGGCACCCCGGAAGAAACCCACCCTGGTTGAAAAAGGCATACACTTATGGGATACCTTTTTTGATTATGCATATTATATCTGGTATTTATTTCTGATTTAAATGACACTTTATGACTATCCTGCATCTAATGTACAGTTATGTGGACATTTCATATATCCTGAAACAAAGCTAAAAATCTGTGCAAATGATTTTAATGTTCCAGGAAGTGTTCTCAACTCCTCAACTTTTCATATATGGTTAATAAATGTGATGCATTTTTATTTTTGAGTTATTTCATAATTTTGTTCAATTGCAAGTGTTGATGAGCTTGCTAACCTAATTTTCTGGATAAAAAAAACTGGCTTTAGTATATAGTACTTTGGAGGTGACCAACACAGCAACATAAGGGAATTAAGGATCACTAGACCAGTGTTTCTCAATCTTGTTACAGTCAAGGTAGCCTTTAAAATTATGGACAGTCTCGAGGCACCCTTTAAAATTATGGACAGTTCCGAGGTACCCCATTCTAAAATGGGGTGCCTCAAGACTCTCCATAATTTTAAAAGGGCACGCCATTCTTAATTTGAAAAACGATTCTAATAGTTTTATAGAACGCAGCAACATCCACACATGTAGGGCACCCAATATTGAAGGTGATTTATTCTTCCAAAGCAAATACAGTTTTGCACACTGGTACTGACTAGTATTCCAGTGTTTTTCTTCTCCCTCAGTTTTTCTCCATAACTGAGCTAATGTGACCCCAGCACTGATGGAGAGGAGCAGGAGAGGGTCAAACTAGGATACTGTGCAGGCAGCTGACATCCTCCTTATCAACTAATGATGTCATTGGCTGTCAGGACGCCGGCAGCTAAAAGGTCGTTATGGTTCATAATGAAAACCTGTGGCTTTGTGTAACTAAAAGGCAGGCTTGTTCCACCTGCTGGCTTGTATTTAAGTTTTGTGCAATTTCTACACATTTTTCCAAGGCACCCCTGAAAGAACCTCAAGGCACCCTAAGGTGCCTGGGCACCCTAGTTGAGAAAGGCTGCACTAGACTATTATGTATTCAGGGGATATCATATTACAAAGTCTATATTTCATTTCCATCACCTTCAGATCCTGAAGATAATCACAGTTTAAAACGATATCCTTACCTAAAGACTTCAGCTTCCCTGTGGTGTTAACTTAAATTAAATTTATATGCTGAAAATATAAAAGAATTCTTTCTACTGAAAACAGACAAATAGATTTTATAAAAATTGTGTACAATAATCCTAATATTATAGCTTCTGGAAAATTGCAGAGGAAAGCAATAGATTTTCTTTGAAGCAGAACTAGTCTTTTTTTTATTGCTAGTAGTTAGGCTTTTATTGTACAAAATAGTTTGTGTCTCTTTTGTCATAGAAACCTCTGCCTTACCTGCTAGCAGTTTTCTTCTGACCGTACACTGAGCCGCGCATGTGCAGCTCTTTGTACAATCTTGGCATGGCTTGGATGCAGGAATTAATTAACTCTGGTGCACAACAATGGGAGTTACATCGTCCAGGGCAGCCAATGAAACCGGGAAGAGAGGTCAGCGGAGGCGATGAGGGAGATTGCAAAACATCGCCCCCTCCCTTGAGTGTACTGAGCATCGTCACACATAGTTGCACCCGCATCAATGCCTGTTCCTTGAATGGTCTGTTTTGAATAGTTTATCTAAAGCAGTGTTTCTCAATCTTTTTTTCAGTCAAGGCACCCTTTAAAATTATGGACAATCCCGAGGCACCCTTTAAAATTATGGACAGTCTAGAGGCACCCCATTCTAAAATGGGGTGCCTCAAGACTGTCCATTTTAAAAGGGCACCCCATTTTAAAATGTGAAAAACTATAGTTTGATATAACACAGCAACATCCACACATGTAGGACACCCAACATTACAGGTGATTTATTCTTCCAAAGCAAATACACTTTTGCACACTGGTACTGACTAGTATTCCAGTGTTTCTCTTCTCCCTCAGTTTTTTTCCATCACTGAGCTAATGTGACCCCAGCACTGATGGAGAGGGGCAAGAGAGGGTCACACTAGGATGCTGTGCAGGCAACTGACATCCTCCTTATCAACTGATGATGTCATTGGTTGTCAGGATGTCGGTGGCTAGAAGGTCATAATGGTGCACTATGAAAACCTGTGGCTTTGTGTAACTAAAAGGCAGGCTTGTTCCACCTGCTGGCTTGTATACAACTTTTGGGCAATTTTTAGACATTTTGCCAAGGCACCCCTGAAGACACCTCAAGGCACCCCAGGGTGCATGGGCACCCTGGTTGAGAAAGGCTGATCTACAGTGTTAAATAGAATATGGACTGTCAGAAGTTACCATCTGAGTCCCATAGCGAAGATTTCCTTGCATTGACTGCCCTGTACACGAATCTTCCCAAAATTAAGTAAATCCCTTCTTAGATAGCTGTCACTAGGCAAATGTCCTCATTGAAAGATTTCCCCTTTATTCCTGTTTTGGTGACAACAAAAACTTTGGATTTTCTCTCACTTTCTGACAGTGGTCACCAGGACAAATAAAGCAGATGAGCAGCTTTAAGATATAGCATCATAGTTGCCAAGTCCCACAACAACTTTGTCTTGGCCTTCGTCCCGGAAATTACATCAGGGCCCGGCCAGACAACAGGCAGTGGGTTCTGCCACTCTGGATTGCCTGTGGGCGGCCAGCACAACAAATCAGCTCACTGTGCTCACTGAAGGTTGTCACTTGTCATTGAGGACTCCGGCATCCCGGCATCCCCGAGGTAGAGAGGCTTTGCAGTGTGAGTGGGTGCAGCCAACCTCAGATAATCGCGCCCAGCCCCCATGCATTCGTCTGGTGAAGTGTCAGCAATGGAGGTAAGCTCTGTGCCAGTGCTATGGATCTCCAGATGATCAGCAAAACTGCTGTTGAAGTGAAAAAAGTCTGCAATGGGCATCTCTCTTGTCTTTTCATGTAGCATTAGCAGTGACTGTGAGAAACCAGGTTTAAAACTACAATGTCCAGTTTCTCACAGTCGGGCCAGTGCTACATGCAAACTGAGGTTTTTTTACTTCTATCTAAAATTTTAGAAAAAGTGCTGTTAGCTGACAAAGATGGTATCTCCATTTTCATGTAGCATTGTTCTGACTGTGAGAAATTGGACAGTGTAGTTTTAAACCCAATTTGTCACAGTCAGTGCTTGCTGACACTATCACTAAGGCCCCGTTCACAACTGGGTATTTTGTATCTCCATCGCGATCCCAATCCACTCAGCAAAAATGACAAATCGCACCACGTATGTTCAGGTGCCATTCATTTTGAATGGCACCTAAACACAGTGTGGTTCTGCTGGCATTGTCATGCAATAAATAATGTTGCATTCGCAGCAAACCACATTACATGACGTTTGTCATCCAAAAAGGAGCAAGAGCTTCTTTTGGGAGATTAGCTTCGCACAGTCAAGTTTGCCACGATTTATCGCATGGCAATCACAACAGAACTGCACCGCATATAGGTGCCATTTAAAAAGGAATGGCACCTGAGCACATGTGCGATTTGTCATTTTTTGTAGAGCATTTTTGGACCTGCCATGTGTAAAGAGCCTCAGGCTCCATTCACATCTGGGCATTTTGTATTTCGGGAAGAATTGCCACAATTCTGCCCAAGATGTAAAACCCCCAGATGTGAATGGGACCTGAGCCTACTTTCACATGGCAGGTCCAATCAAGTCTGTCTGTTAGCTTTTGAGGCAGACCTGATCAGACCCTCCATTCATCCCTATGGACAGGCCGATGTACACAGACTTGTGTCTGTTTACACCCACCTACCTCCAGTCTGATCAGGTCCGCTGAACAAAAAAAAATGGGGATCCCTCCACTTCTGTTTAGGCAATCAGCAGGGGATCTGTGAGCTGATTCCCTGCTGACGCCTACATACTACAGACCTCTGGACACTGCCTTATATGCTACAGATCGTTTGGACACCACTCTACATACCACTAACCTCTGGACACCGCCCTATATCCTACTGACCTCCAGGGCCACCATGGGAAGGGGGGACAGCCCATACACATGTAGGGGGTGGAATGGGTTGGGGAATCTGCGTGTGCAGGTGCCAAAGGAGCATCTTCACCCCCAGACATCATGAATGACTCAGACAGTCTGTAGAGCATCTATACCACTCTAGCCCCAACCCAGCCTACACTCCAGCCACCTGCATGCAATGCACACCCTGCTGTAGGCAGCAGGGTGGCAGTTTTGAAACAATAACTGCCACAGCCCTGGGGGAGGCCAGCCTGAATGGGGGAGGCATATTTAGTGAGTGAGCCTTCTGCGCAGAGGACAGCCCCTTATCTCCTGCCCACCCCTTTTTGCTCTGCTCCTTCTTTTTCCGCTTTTTCTCCCCCTTTCTCTTTCTCTTCCTCCCTCTCTCTTCCTCCTTCTCATCCTGCTCTCTCATTCTCTCCCTCCTCTCTCATTCTCTCCCTCATTCTCTCTCTCCCATTCTCTCCCTCATTCTCTCCATTGTTCTCTCTCTCTCTCCCTTATTCTCTCATTTTCTCCCTAATTCTATCTCTCTTTCCCTTCCTCATTCGCTCTCTTTATTTCATGCTCTCCATCATTCTCTCTCTCACTCTCTCTTTTGTTTGCTCTCTCTCTCATTCTCTCCTTTGTTCTCTCTCTCTCTGGACTGGAGGGGGAGGAGGACATGGGATGGAGAAGGACATGAGATGGAAGAGATGAGACAGGAGGAGGAGGACATGGGATGGAGGAAATGGGACTGGAAGGAGGAGGAGGTCTTGGGATGGAGGAGATGAGACTGGAGAAGGATATTGGATGGAGGAGATGGGACAGGAGGAGGAGGACATGGGATTGAGGAGATGGGACTGAAAGCAGGAGGAGGAGGACTTGGGATGGAGGAGATGGGACTGGAGAATGGCATGGGATGGAGGAGAGAGACATGGGATGGAGGAGGAGAATATGGGATGGGTGAGATGAAACTGGAAGAGGAGGACATGGGATGGGGGAGATGGGACTGGAGGTGCAGGAGGAGGACATGGGATGGGGGAGATGGGAATGGAGAAGGACCTGAGATGGAGGAGATGGGACAGGAGGAGGGCATGGGATGGAGCAGATAGGACAGTAGGAAGAGGACGTGGGATGGAGGAGATGGGCCTGCAGGAGGAGGAGTACATGGGATGGAGGAGGAGGACATGGGATTAGGGAGATGAGACTAGAAGAGGAGGGCTTGGGATGGGGGAGATATGACTGGAGGAGCAGGAGGAGGACAAGGGTAGGGGGTAGATGGGACTTGAGGAGGCCATGGGATGGGGGAGATGGGACTGGAGGAGGATATGAGATGGGGGAGATAGGACTGGAGGAGGAGGACATTGAATGGAGCTGATAGGATGGAGAAGGAGGGGGACATGGTAAAGGAAAGGAAAGGTAACTGGAGGAGGAGAACGAACGTGGGATAGAGAATGTGGGATTGGAGGGGGAGGGGATGGGACTGGTGGAGGAGAAGAGGGGACTAGAGGAGGAGGAGGATATGGGATGGAGGATATATTAAGTTTTAGGAGTGTTTAAATAAAAGTGGGTGCACTGAAGGATTTGATGGGATGGCCAGTGGGCGGGCCCTGGGGAATGTTGGTGGTAAGACCCAGGGGGACCCAGGCCTAAAACTGTGTAAGGGGCCCCAAAACATCTGATGGCTGCTTGCCAACCCCTGTACACTGCTCTACATCTTACTGGCCTCTGTACACTGCTGTATATACTACTGACCCCTGTACACCCCCCCTACATCCTACTGACCTCTGTACACTGCTCTACATACTACTGACCCCTGTACACCCCCCCCCTACATCCTACTGACCTCTCTGTACACTGCTCTACATACTACTGACCCCTTTACACTGCACTACATACTACTGACCCTTGTACACTGCTCTACATCCTAATGACCTCTGTACACTGCTCTACATACTACTGACCCCTGTGCACTGCCCTGCATACTACTGACCCCTGTACACTGCCCTACATACTACTGACTCCTGTACACTGCTCTACATCCTACTGACCTCTGTACACTGTTTCACATACTGCTGACCCCTGTACACTGTCCTACATACTACTGACCTCTGTACACTGCCCTACATACTACTGACCTCTGTACACTGCCCTACGTACAGTATATTCGACTATTTAACATTACCACATTCTCCACTATGTAAGTCATCTCAGACTCTGTTTAACCACACCCATTTAAGCCACACCCAATATTTTAGCATAATTAAAACCACCTCCATCTTTCGCTGAATTTTTTATGATTTATACTGAGCCACATCCACAATTGAACTCTCCACCCCTAATTAAAATGATACATTACTCACACTGCCTTTTTGGACAAAAAAAAGTGCTCCTAAAAATTTTTGGGAAATGTTGGCAACTATGTAACATAGGCAAATAAAAAGTAAAAAAAACAAGTATTTTATTTTTAAAAATGTCACTTGTTTATGATACACAGTGCCTTAGCAAACTAAACGTGAATAAAGTGGAATTCCAGGCTAGATCTAACTAAGCTTAAAATTGCTCCCACCCCCTTCTAATATTACCCTGTAAAACGAGTGCTCAACCTCTTGAAGAGAGAGGGCCACTTAAATTATTTGGTAACTGGTTGCGGGTCTCATGGAATTGAAATGGTTCAGAATTTAAAATGGTTTATTTTGAATAGAATAATGAACAATTTCCTCCTGCAGCCACTGAATGCCAGTGGGAGGGAGAGGAGTAGAAGCCATATTTCAGCAAAATCTAGAAGAAAATGGAGAGGATTGGTTCCTGTATTTGCCACCCTTGCCGCCCCTCCTTTACAAGCTTCTGCTGGCTTCAGGCTGCTTGAAAGGTCCCAGGCACTTGATATCACTTCACCTGAGACAGGAGCTGGCGATACAGAGAAAGCATCAGCTTATGTGGCTCCTGCTCCCTTTGTGGCCTTCTGCATCTTGATGCATTCTGATGCTCTGGGATGGTGGGTTGGCAAGCCCAGATCCTGATCAATGCGTACAATGCACTGGTTTGAGGTCGAGGGACACATCGGAGGGGTCCAAGGTGACATGTGGCCTGTGGGCAACAGGTTGAGCACCCCTGCTGTAAAAGGAAGATGCTTATACTTACCTATTCTCAGGGTGCTCCGTTCTGGTCATATGATCTCCCCAGTGGCTAGCTTCAGGGTAGAGATCGCTGAAAAGGATGAAATGCCTGGATGGTGACATCACCCTTAGACTTATTGTGGAACATCCGTTATTGGCACTCCCTCCTCTCCTCTGAAGCATTCACTGGGAGCCGATCACATGATTGGAGTACCCTGAGAAAAGGTAAGTGTCTTTGTTCTACAGGGTAGTTACAGGGTAGGAGTGGGAAAAGTTTTAAGCTTAAGTTAGATCATGCCTAGAATTCCACTTTAAATATAGGTGTACATTTACTTTACCTGCTTGGCGACTGCCTACCGCAGATATACTGTGGCAGAGCGGCCAAGCTGCGTAGGATTATGTACATATACATGACTTGGATCTTCCAGGTAGCGGGCGTGTGTGCGATTCCATCACCCCGGTTGTGCTGTTATTCTCTACAGCACAAGCCGATCAGTGGGTCCTGGCCAAGGATTCATGGCTGGAACCTGCTGATCAGCTGAGCAAATTACAGTAGAGAGCCTTGTGTTGGTAAACACAGGGCTCTCTACAGACAGCAGCAATGTGACTGTTTTTATCTTCCTGCAAAGCAGGGAGATAAAACAGTGACATTGCTTAGTAAAATCAGCACACTTTACACACATTACATTTGTTACACAGTTAACCTTTTGATTGCCTCTAGATATTAACCCC